TATATATATATATATATATATATATATATATATATATATAATTATTTAGCTTAATAAAACCTCAGGATATCGTGTCGTTGTTGCGCTGCTGCAGTGTGCTGCTAACTAGTGGTTGGGAGTTTAAATGTTCTATAAAGTAAAGCACTGAAAGGGACGTTTGGCTGTGAATATTTTTATATTGATTCCATATTTTGAACCAGCATCCATTGATATATTCTAATGTTGGTGTGTTGAGTTTATACGATCATCAGCTACAGATATATTGCATTATTTTAAATATTTTTTTCTTGCACCGCTACTAAATAGCGAAGCTGAAATTAAGAAGTCATATTTTGTAATATAAAAGTAAAATATAAAAGGAAGTTTGTTGGCAGTTTTTTCATAATGATTTATGTGAATATACCCATATTTCTGTTGGGAACGTTTCACCTCAGAAACTATTTTAAATGTGCTTGGTGTTTAGGCCCAGCCATCCTGCTAGAGCTGCACAGCTGTTGGAGAAAATTCTATTCAGAAAAGCAAATTCATTCATGGTTGGTGTCTTTTTAAAAGCCATAAAAGCTAGGGGTGGAACGGTTCACAAAATCCACGGTTCGGTTCTGTTCACGGTTTCGTGGTCACGGTTTTCAGTTCAGTTCGGTATATGTTGATTGTTACCCCGATATCCCATAAATATGAATAAAATTAATGAAAAAAAATGTATGATTGTAATTATTTTTTAATGATTTGCGGAAACCATGGATCATTCCACATGTTTTGCTGCTTTGAATTTAATAATCTGGCGCATGCTCTCTACCGTCTCCAAGGAACTCAGAGCGGAGCGGACGGGAGCCACAGTGGAGGCTGTAGGCTTTGCTTTGTGCAGCCGGTCGGGAGCGCAGCGGGGCGGAGCGCTGACGGAGTATGAGGGATTTTGGGGATAGCATGACATGTTGGTCATGTTGCTGTTAGCATAAACAAAACGTGTTGCACAATGCTTGCACCCTGTTGCACTTTTATCCACAACTTTCTTTCCGCCGTCATCGTAGGTCACTCTAAATGCAAAGTGATCCCATACAGCAGACCTATAAAGTGCTGCTGGCACGTCTTCCAACGCCTGTTCTTTCCCACTCGCCATACCCACACAATTCTCCACAACTACGCTGCTTCGCTTCTTCTTCTTCTTGTTTACTACTGGTGGTTGGCTTTGGTCGCAGTACCGCCACCTACTGCTGTGGAGTGTAAACGCTTCGCCTATGAGAAAAAAGAGCAGCGCATGAACCAAACGCAACACACACGAACCGAACCGAGACAGTCGAACCGAATGATTCGGACGGTTTTCATAAACTGCTCCATCCCTAATAAAAGCTCATATTTGTAAAAAGAGCATCTTTGCTGGTGTTTGTCATGTTTCCCTCTGCATCCTGTTAAATCTGGTGCTGTGAGTTCGATGCTCTTTGGTCTCAGGAAGTCTTGGAAGTCTTGCTGTAACAGACGATGCCTTGAATTCTGATAACAAACATTTCTGGAGGGGAACGTCTGACCATACGCCAAAGCATAGCGGGGTTATTATGTGGGACAATGTTCAATAAATGCCTAACAAATCCAACTCTTTATGGTCTAGTCAAAGTCTGGCCTTATGTTACTGTTCTGTTGGGAAATCATTGAAAGCTGCTTCTGCTTTTATAATCTGGTTGTTTTTATTTTCTCTGTTGAAAGATGTTAAACGGATCTACAGCTAACCAGTAATGTTATCAATAATGGTTAAATTGGCCTCCTAGGTATAAAATCTTTACTGCTCTTTAGTTTTAATGAAATTATAAATATATCATTGTTGAATGTTTTCCTTTGTTGTGCCTTTACTTAAAATGTATTTAATTTTATTTTTCTTATAATTAATGGACTATATGTATCTTTTTTTACCCTTAGACTGTTGATAAATACCAGGTGTAAGAGGAATGTGAAGTAAAATATATTTTTGTTGTGTCTTCACAGGAGATTACACCGCATCGCAACAAAACCCCAATTAAAAATCAAGAATCAAACAAGCAAAATTCCTATTTCCTGTTTTTTAGATGTGAAAGTTGACCTTGGAGCCGGTTTGACTCTGGATCGACCCGTTTAGACTATACCTGCCAAATACAGATGTTAAAAACATCTGCTCTAACCCGTTTATGGTCTAGATGTCCGTGTCGGTTCTTTGGACCGACGTCCTTCGTCTCTTCTGTGGACGCGCATCACCACAGTGATTTTAATGATCATCTAAGGAACCTGTGGAGCGATGGAGTTTCAGTGACCGGCGCCTCTCCTGTGTGTTTCTGTCTCTTCGAATCGGGACGACTCGTTTATCAAGTATTTTTATTATTTTTTGTTTTGCAAACAGACAAAAAGTATTGGCCCAGGCTGTGTGTGGGATGAATGTTTCTCTTCCTCAGCTTTTACCCGACGTTAACCAAATCTTCAGCTGTTACAGGATTACCGCTCTGCCATCAGATCGGTTAAGAGCTTATTTTTGGTGAAAAGGGGGGGCTGCTGCTACTCTTTCCTTTTCTTCTTTAGTTCTTCTCTTCCTTTAAACATTTCAGGGGAATTTTTTTGGGCCTTTTATTGTTTATTCTTAAAGTTAGGCCAGTTTTTGTTTTCCTATCGACGGCTATTTTGATTTTATTTTTGTTACCGTGCTACTCGGTGGTTGTTTAGGAAGATCGGGGGCGTTTCACAAGGTGACAGTAGCACAAACTTTGGCACCAACTGGAGCACTTTTTTTATTTTCCTCATACGGTCTGGGATAACGTTGAGTGTGCGTGCCTGGATGATAACCAGGGCCTGAATATGTCTGTATATACAATAAAGTGTGTGTCTGTTGTACAGATGGGTTGGTGAGCCCCCCCCCCCCTTCTGTTTGGTACTTATTACGAATGCGGTTTGGATTTCTGTCCCCTTCTTTTAAAAAGTGGTCACCGGGGGGCGCTGTTTGGGTTTGTTTTTTTGCGGCGGGGAGTCGATTATTAGCCGATGCCAGATAGCGTGGGGATAAATGGACTGAGGGATGTATCTTTGGGGGCATGTTTACGCCGTGTGGCATCTGCCTCTTTTCACAACACTGGAGGCTATGGACAGCTGATGATTAATAATTACATACTCCTCCTTTTTCCACCCGGCTTTTTTTTTTATTTTAAGGATATTTACACACCTTTCATGATTACTGCTAAATGTTTCAGGTTGCTTTTCTTTGCCTTTTTCTCTGTTATCTGATTTGCCTTTTTTCTGGTGAAGGGACTCTAAAAAAGCGAGCCCAACAGCGAGGCTGTGCACAGGCCAGTTCAACGAACAAATTGCATTTAGCTTTTTCCGTCTCATGAGTTTTTAACTCGAGACAGATCTGTTCAGAGGACCAGAAAAGCTTTCTGAGGTCTTTTTTTTTTTTTACTTCTGGTCCACCTTTCTCTGCATTTGGAGGTGCTATGACTCGCCCAACCACTAGTGGGCAGCTCTGTGCATGTTTCTCTTTATATTACATCGCAGACATATATATATATATATATATATAAATATATATATAAAAAGATGCCAAAAGTTTGTGTGTACATTGGGAGTGTTGTGTGAGCGTGTGACGGGATGCATTGGACATTAGGTGTTTCATTCGTTTTAGAGTTATGATGTTGTATTCTCTGGCTGGGAGGGGAGGGGCGGGATGTTTGTTTATGCTTATGGAGGTTGGATTGTCAGCAATCCTAACCTCCCTAAATTACTCTCATTTACTTTGTTACCCTCTGTGTGGTGCAATACCTCATTTTTTTTCTATTGTATTTCTTTGCCAATGCTAGCCAAATGCTATGTGTGTAAAACCAGCTGTTTTCCAACCAAGGAAGGTGTTTTTTTGTTTTGTTTTAATGCATCCCTCAAAGATTTGGTTTTGAAACCCGGGGCTCCACGTCCGCCTCGCGCTTTTTCAAACAGACGTATTTGGTGAGAAACTTTAAAAAGGGGTCGGTTGGCTGGATCTGCATCCTCGGGATATGGACAATCCGCCTCCACTCTGGTATTGAAAGCAAATTGAACTTTATTTATTATTAAATTGTAAATATGTAATACAGTTCAAGAAAATGGCTTGGTCCTTGTCTGTTCAATTATACTGTTTCTAAGCTCTGATCTTTTGTATGTCTCAGAAATTGTTTTTATATGTATTTTTTACAATAAATATGTGTGAGAGATGTCGTCTGCTTTTTTGTTTATATTTGTAACCATCAGATTTAAGTCTCCTTGGCTTAGATTTATTTATTTATCCTTGGTTCAAAGGTAGCCATTTTGTTCAGGGTGATATAGGTTTAATATCCAACCACACAGAAGATTGTAATGCCTTCTGTTTTTGAAAGATTCAATCAGATTAATACTTTACTGTCCAAAGGAGCTGGTTTGTAGAAAAGCTTCACATGAAGGGACCGATAAGTCCTCTGGTTAAACTTTAATAATGAAAGATGTGGTAGAACTTATTTAGATAAAAGAGCCATAGAGGATGGAAGCTCAGCTAATCGTCTAGATTTATGTACATGCATCAAAAAAGGTTTTGATTCGACTGAAAATATGATGCATTTAGAATTAAGAAAAATGAGGCTTGGTTTGAAATTTTCTTTACAAATAAGAAATACGACTACCGCTCGACTTAATAAAGAAAAAAACACTGTAAAGCTAAACAGATTGTTATATATTAATGGGGGAAAAAATTACTTAAAAAAAAACAAAACACTCAGCATCTCTGGGACAAAAGTTCTGAAAAGAAACATTTTAGAAACGGTAGGAAACAAGAAATAAAGGCTATTATCCCCTTAATTCTCTTCCTTTTACCAACAAAACTTTTTTAGCCTTAAAGTTTTCAGGTTTGCTCTTGACTTTAGGCCTGAACTTTGGACTAAAAATATATATTTTTAAAAATGCTAAAATAGTATTATTGGTCAGTACCAGCAATATTGACCAATTAAAAAATACACGGTGAGTATCCTTAATATTTATACCGATACTAATACTTTTTTATATTTAAGCTTTATGTATCATGAAACTTTTGACCTTTTGGTGTTTTTGTAATTTTGACTTTATTAAAATAACTAGAAAAAAATTAGAGGGGTTCCCAGCCTCAGTCTGCCCCTAAATGAGAGGGAGAATCACAAGCTCCTGCAGCACTGGATGGCGTGATGTAGCGGTAATACAATGTTAACTAAGCTGTTCCTGAGGATGTGGATTAATAAAAAGTCATGCAAATCCCTCCATTGTAATATTTAATGTTGATGGTTTAGCTCGTTCAGGGTGATTTACTTAATTTCCTACCACACTAAAAGTTATCTTCTGTCCATATAACCAGACTGTTTTTTAAATAAATGTAAAGATTCATTCTTTATTGTCCCTAAAGGCAGTTGTCTACAGGAAGGGGCTGAGAACACAGCCTTGTGGTGTGCCTGTATTTATATCTCATCCGAACCCCAAGCCCCCGCCTACCGAGTGGAAGGTAGAGACGGAGGCTGTGAGGGTTTATCACTAGATATCAAAGAATTATATTAAAAGCTAAAGTAAAATACTTAAAGTTAATCTTAATAATAATGAGGAGTTTCCAATTGCGTAAGATTGGTTGAGAAGGCGCATCACAACAGCCATGTGGACTGCAGGAGGGAGAGAATAAAGCCTTTCTAAGAAAGGCATAAATAAAAAATTCATGGAAAAAAAAATCCAAGATCATTTTCTTTTGAAAGTCTGTTTTTTCTGCTGCTTTGTTGGGTTTTTTTTTCTCCCCTCTAGACTAATGCATTAAAAATGTAGATAAAAGTTTTGTGGTGGAGAGATAAATGCTCACTACAACTAATAAAAAACCCAAAAACCTAAATGGAATATGAATATAATTAGATGTTTGTGGCCTGCTATCCCTTTAGAAGGCATGCACTTTGTTTATTTTTTTACAGTGTCAGTGTCTGCAGACAGATGAAGTTATGCAACAGGCGGGTTATGGGAAGCCTGAGCTGCATTTATCTACCAAACACTTTGTGTTTGTTGCAAAAACTCTTCTGTAGGTTTGCTCTGCAGCAGCTGTTTCCAGTGTACCCAACCACACAATGACCCTCAGCCATTTCCTCTTCTGTGTTTTTACGTCAAGACTGAACTTTCAGTTTTAACCTTCAAGCCAGCAGAGAAGAGAAGTAAAAAATAAAAAACTGCACCAGATTAATATCTGCTTTGAAGGTGCGAGATCAATAGTTACAACGATACATGGAGAGAAACGGCCCAAAGGACCACATGTTGTTACTGACAGATGGAAGTGTTGAAGTTAACATTAGCTTTGTTTTCATACGAACTTTGCTCATGCATTGTTAATTCATTTATGTAACAAAAACACTTATTATTCACAATGATCATCTAATCAGTACATTAAGCTCAGGTGAAGCTGTGTGAGTCCAGCTGCAGCCAATAGTGTGACTATCAAACTGATTACAGTGTAAAAAGTTCCAAGTCTGAATGACTTTAACCACGTAGTGTTTCTTTGTATCACTAACTTTGAAATAACATATATTGCTGTATATGCAATAAAGAATGTCAGTTTATTTATATAGCACCAATTCACAACACATGTCATCTCAAGGCACTTTACAGTTCAACCAGATCATCCAGTCAAATTGATTCAAAGTTTTCTATCTAAGGAAAACCAGTTGATTGCATCGACTCATTGACTCGAAGGCAATCCCTTACACTAAGCATGCTTGTAGCGACAGTGGAGAGGAAAAACTCCCTTTTAACAGGAAGAAACCTCCAGCAGAACCAGGCTCAGTGTGAGCAGCCATCTGCCAAGGCCGACTGGGGTTCAAGGAGACAGAAGCAGAGATACAAATGGCAGCAAAAAATAAATAAATCTAAGTTAATTGTTACTAAAATAAGTGCCGTTTTTCTTGAACTGAGCAGGAAAGTGAAACACCTACACAATGGAATACGACAATTTACATTGAAAATAACCGTAAAAAAACAACTACGGTCTCTTATAGTCCGAGCTTACATCCATCATGGACAACGCCTTCCACCCTGCTGCACCAGACTGTAGAGGAGCTGAGCAGCTCCTTTAGTGAAAGACTTTTACACCCTGTCTGTAAAAAGGAGCGCTACCGCAGGTCATTCATCCCTGCTGCAACCAGACTCTACAATGCGACCACGGCAAAAACTTATGCAATATATATTGTGCAATTAATATTTAATACCCTGTGCAATAACCTGTTTATTTATATCTGACACCCAGTCAAATTAATATAAAGATATAAATATAAATATCCATCTATATTAATACCCATGTAAACACCCTGTGCAATAACCCTGTATAATATTCCTATTATTAAGAGAAGAAAAAAAGCTGTCATATGTGGACGCACTGTATATATCCCATGCAACTTTTTAAATTTCTTCATTATAAGATCAATAAAGTCAATCAGTCAATATTTCAAGCAGATAATATCAAATTATTTTATTTTAAGGGTATAAATTCTCATTTCATTGGCAGATCATCTTATTTACTTTCTCATATTAAGGCTTTATACGCATATTTTAAGAAATTTGTACAAATTTTTAGATCAGTTTTGCAGTGTAGTAGTTTTGCCACCAGTGCAGAGTTCATCAAGGCAGAGATCAAACCCTTTTATCAAGATAATCTGCAGAAAACGATAAGATTAACTATATGGATGGACGGTAGAACATGACTGTAAAGTAGTTTCTCTCTTAAATCAATCTGGTTTTTCCACAGATGTTAATCAGGATAAGAGCTTCTATGAGTTGGTTTTTTGTTTGTTTGCACCAGTTTAAGGTGTACATCAGCTCTCACCCAACACCTGCAGGAGGAATGAACCTGCGCACCACCCTTTGACCCTGAGAGGACAACTGGGTTTATTCCATAGATGGATGGATAATCAGCCTGCTTATATTTGCATTTTTCCACTGGATATTTAAAATAAATCAGTGATGTAAGTTTCATCTTGTAAAGTTTCACCTCCTCCAAAACTTTAGTGTTTAACTTCCAGTCAGAAGAAGCATAAAGGTTACTTAAAATATGAATCTTCCAGGTGTTGAAGTACTCCAATGTCCCATCAGTAAAGCACTGACATGGCCAGATGTTTATGCAATTACACAAGTGTTGTGCGTAATGCAATACTAACAACAATCATTGTTATCTGAGTTAACTGGCCTCCTATAATGTGTATCTCTGCAGAGGGGGTACAGGGCATATAGGCAATAAAGCTCAGCTCATTTGCTCCTGGTCGCATACATCAATAAACAAATGAAAATGCAATAAAACTTAAATAAAACATTTTCTAAAACACAATTTGGTGTTTTCGTTAAGAGCTGTTATGCTGAGAAACAAGAGGTTTTTATAGCTTTGTTAAGAATGCCCCCCCCCCACACACACCCATACCCGACCAGTTAACCTGGCCGTCATGTTTTTGGTCGCTTATGAATCTTCCTGCTGCAAAGCAAAATTGCTAAGCGCCGTGCAATCATCACCCAGCCCACTGACTCCTTAGAAGAATATAAACAACTGTTAAAATGTAATTGTTTGATTAAATGTATATTTTTATTTTGAAATCAATACTCCTTTCACATGTTTTCATCATGTTTGAAGAACCGGCTGCCTTGGCTTGTATTAAATAGCTGATAATAGATGAAAAATCGTTTTTGAATCTAAATAAAAATGTGTTTGAGGTGTAACGAAGCAGGAGCTTCATATTAAAGTCAGAAAATACCTCAGTTTGTTTCAGCAGATAGAAAACAATTGCAAAGTGACTTTGAAACGCTGAAACTTCTGATGGTAGATATTTAAAGAGATACGGAATGAAAACAGAAAATAAACAAAAAAACTGAAAAAAGTCTGAAAGACGTTTTGTTTAGTTTGCTTTTTGTTCTGTTTTCTTATTAGATCAACCTACATCAGCATAAAAATAAACAATGAAACAAACCAACTAACCCTACACTAAGTCACCAGTGATTAAAGCTTCACTTTCTGTTTGAGCTCAGGGCAAAATCTTAGTTATAAAAAACTTTTTCAGTATTTTCAGGTTCGACGTCGCAGAAAATAAACAATATTTTGATCAGTTTTCCAGTTTCCTTCATGATTTTTAATGTTTCTGCTCGATTATTCCTTCCTTCCTTCATAGATGCCAGTTAAAACAGGTGGACAGGTAATAAGTTATAGAAATGCAAACATATCCCCGTCTAATGACCAACATTCAGACAAAGTATTACTCAAACAGAAAAACCCTGAGGGACTCCACCATGACGACTTGGATTTGACTTGATTAGAGGGAGCATGAATCAATGCATCCTGGAGTCATCTGTCAGAAACTGTTTGCATCACTTTAAAGAGACAGAAGTGGGAAATAAGAAGCCGATGGGCGCATTGGTTGGAGGTTTTAGTATTTCCTCCTCACAGAGCAGAACTGTGAACCATTGGACTGCTGTTATCTGTGGAGAGTCACTCAGAAGGAGAGGTAAGAGGATATATGCTCTATAACAGGCTCAATGCATTATTTTGATCATAGTTATATCATATAAACATAGTTTAAAACCCTTAATTGGATGTCAAAATGTTTAACCATAATACTATGGACCATTTTATTTCTATATAGCTTAAATTTAAGTGTGAAACTAGTGGAGAGCTGAAAATTGGACTAATAGAAACATTTCTATTTGAGCAAATGGGAAAAGAAAAATTACAACTGGGATCTTAACCCCCAGGAAACAGTCCGATTGTAAAAGAAAAAGCTTAGATAGATTGAAATATTAATAATGACACTTAATAAAAGCTAGATAAACAAGATTATTCTTTTATTATAAAGAATTCAACATCAACTGAGAATGAGTAAGTGCCTTGAGATGACTTGTGTTGTGAATTGGCGCTATATAAATAAACTAAATTGAATTGAATTGAATAAGTGGATTTATTTATTCTTATTTAATGATCTGTCATTTTTTTTAGCTGAATTTTTTCTTATTAGGAAAATTAAAAATTTTCCAAAACCATTAAGATTTTGATTACTTGCAGTTTAATCTGCTTGGTTTTTTTTCTGCAATATTGGTTTGGTGTTACTTTTGATCCTTAAAAAAATAAATAAATAAATAAAACATACCCCCACCAAAAAAAAAAAAAAAAAAAAAAAGACCTTTAGTCAACAAATGCTAAAAATCAGTCTTTCCAAATATTTTTTTCATGTTCAGATTTACTGTTAAACTCGAGTGACAAACTGATTATGTCCCAATTGTTGCTGAGCGGAACGGGCCCCTCATCCACTGCTAAAGTTTTACTTCCTTGATTCTTTTCCACAATGAAGCAAAAAAAAAAAAGTCCCACTTCTGCTGGTAAACATACTTCTCCTTTGCATTAACCGTCACGTTTCGTGCATCCTTCTGTTCCAGCCAGGATGAATCCAAAGGAGCCCCTCATACCTAAACAGACTCCAGATTGCCATGGTTACAGCGATGCATCCCTGCCTCCGCCATATTCCTACCAGGAGCAGCAGCCTCCAGCTTACTCCGCAGATGAGAGCGCACACAGAAGTGAGGCCGTCGCCGCGGGATACGCGTCTTTCCAAGACATAATCCCAGAGGCTACATCAGAAACTACGCCCATGTTATCCTCATGGTCCTTTGAGGACAAAACAGTGAGGCGAGCCTTTGTTAGAAAGGTTTGTTTGCTATTACTTTCAGTTATTAAAAGTTATAGATGAAGAGTATTTTTAAATATGGAAACAAAGAATTTAGGTCAGCAGGACCTATTTACAGAAAACCTCCAACTTCCTGGCTTAAGATGTTTCTTCAACATTTGCATTTGTCTCTCCTGGAGCAAACCGCCCCACAACATGATACTACTTCCTCCGTACTTCACAGTTAGGGTGGCGTATCAGGGTTAAGGGAATCCCCGTTTTATCTCCAATGGTCATCATGGCTTTAGTTTCCTCAGACCACAGGACGTGACTCAGAAAAATTCAGGTCTGTGTCCATGTGCCCGTTTTCAAACCGTAATCGGTCTTTCCGTGTATCTTTGGAGTGATGGCTTCTTCCTCTCTGAGTGGCTTTCAGCCCATGCTACTACAGGAAAGCCTAAGACAGTACTTTTTAAGTTTTCTTTGATTTTGTTCTCATTTCTCCTCCTGCTTCCTTACATTGTGAAGCAGTTTTTTAAGGCATGCTTTCATGTAGCTTATATATATGAAGCATAACATAAAGACTGCAGTTGACCTCAGCAGATGGCCGCTCACAGTGAGCCTGGTTCTGCTGGAGGTTTCTTCCTGTTAAAAGGGAGTTTTTCCTCTCCACTGTCACTACAAGCATGCTTAGTGTGAGGGAAAGCCCTGGAGTCAATGAGTCAATGCAATCAACTAGTTTTCATTAGATAGAAAACTTTGAATCAATCTGACTGTATGATCTGGTTGATTTGTATCTATAAAGTGCCTTGAGATGAATTGGCGCTATAGAAATAAACTGAATTGAAATGAACATGACCCCAGCTGGACTCTCCCAGGCTGTTTAAATAAATTAAGTCTAATCTGGTGTAATACTAAGTTAAAAACGTCAAACTTTGGTTTAGATTAATTTCAAAAAGCAAGGAAAACATTTATTTTAACTGCTTTATATCTTTTATCAATTTCCCATTAAATAAAATCCCTCTTCAAGGACAGAAGTCCATTAAATAATAATAAGCGTGTCTCTTGTTTCCTCCTGCAGGTGTTTAGTATCTTGACCCTCCAGCTGGTGTTCACCTTCAGCGTGGTCTGTGTGTTCACCTTCTCCAGCGCCGTTAAAGAGGTGGTGCAGACCAATCTGTGGGCCTACCTCAGCTCCTTCATCGTGTTTGCTGTGGTGGCCATCGCCCTCACCTGCTGCAAGTCCTTCAGCAGGCGTCACCCTTGGAACATCGTGGGGCTGGTGAGCCGCTATATTAAATATATATTTCACAGCATTTTTTTTCTTGAAAAAGTCTCCAACAAAGATAAGGTGCTTATAGTGATCTGATTTTGTGTCTGCAGGTCCTCGTCACCCTCAGCCTGTCCTACATGGTGGGGACCATCGCCTCCTTCCATGACACCACTGTGGTTGTCATCATCATGGCCGTGACGCTGGTCATTTCTGTTGCAATCATCGCTTACTCTGCTCAGGTTGGTGACACTTTCATACAGAACTCTCACCT